TGGCGGCCGGGGCCTCTGAGTCACCAGCTGCGGGGCCCTTCCCGGCTGAGGTCCGGCCGCCATGCCGGCGCTGCATTTCGGGGAACGCCAGCCAGGCTCAGGCGGAGGGGGCTCCCAACTTTTTTAGCCCCACTCAAGAGTCTGGTTTTCTCCAATTTGGGTGAATGTCAGGAGTTAGGAGTTCAGGGTGGCGACGGCTCTAGTTTAAAATGCATTCTCGGGCCGTCTTCTAAAGTGGCGGGGGAGTGTGTGTGTGTGTGTCCATGGTTCAGAAGGGTTGGGCCTGGAATTCGGGGTTTGAAACCGCTTTCTGGTTATTTCTGATTTACCTTCGTTGGGGAGCCCTCGGCCTCGGCTGGGATCAGGACCCTTTTTGACCAGCCAGCAGCTTGGAAGCCCCGACCTCCCTGTTGCCTGGTTCCTGGGAGCGTTTGTAGACTCTGGGACTTTGCGGGGTGGGGGTGGGGAGCGAGGGGAGACCCCAAGACCCAGTCACCCCTGACCCCCAGCGTGTTGGGTCGCGGCTGCAGGGAGATGTATGCTGGTCCTTGCTGAAACACTTGAGGCGTTTGGGAGAAACTGCCTTGCCGACTCACCCGGTAATTTTTGCCTGTGACATCTGTCAACAAGTTGGGGGGGCCCTATGGAAAAGGCCGCCTTCGTCGCTCGAACGACAGAGCTCTTTTCTCCGGGAACCCTAATTTCTCGCTTTGTAGCCGCTCTGCCCAAAGACTTGTGAAGGCCACCATCACATGTCCTGGGCCCCAATCCTGCCCACAGAGCCCCTCGCTTCTCTAAATATATGTACATTCGTGCCCTACAAGCCCATCCAAGGTCAATCGGAGAATCGACTTGGAATGCAAAAACTTGCCAAACACAGCACATCCCAAGTCTGTTGTATACAAAATGACTTGTGCTGCCCAGCGAATAATGGCTCAGTACATGCACTTTCTAGAAATACATATGCCTTGGTAGTTATAAGAAACCCTACTGTACTTTTTAATGTTAACTTTTCCCTCCTGAAAAAGAAAAAGCATACTGCCGAGCAGTGTGTGTTCCAGCGCATAGCAGCAGCCTCCCCCTTCTTGAGTGTTGTTGCATTATTTTTGTTTGCTATTCTTAGAGGAGAAGTATCAATTTGGAAGTGAAAGGAAAAAAGGATCAAACGGGAAGGTGGAAAAATTGACTGCTCTGGCTCACAATTGAGGCATGCTTGCACGACGTCCAAATCACACAGCACGCTGCTTCTCAGATTGTTTTGTGGCGTTAACGCAAGAATAGATCCCTGAGAGAAGCTCCTTATCCGCAGGGTCAAGCTGGTTCTTCCCTTGGCTGGGCCACGGCCGTTTGGCATTCTGTATTTACTAGCCCTACTATTAAAGGGGGAAGGGCCGAGCAAGTAGGGCATGGGTGAGTCAGGATTCCACCCTGAGTCCGGCTCCTATTAATGCTGACGTCACCCTAAGCCCAGTAGGTTACCCAGGGCTGCCAGCTCACCTCACATCCCACCCCCACCCCTTTCTCTTGGTGCTCATGGTCTTCAGACCTAGCTGCAGGTGGAATCCGGCCCCCTCCATCTGTTTGTCCTCTCTCAATTCAGCCCTTAGAATAGTGGTTCTCAACCTTCCTCATGCCTCGACCCTTTAATACAGTTCCTCATGTTGTGGTCACCCCCCACCCATACAATTAATTTTGATGCTACTTCATAGCTCAATTTGCTGCTGTTATGAATTGGGTGACCCCTGTGAAAGGATCGTTCAACCCCCAAAGGGGTCTTGAGAGCTGTGGGCAGGAGGGGAGCGTGTGGAGAAGCAGCAGCACTGACCTGGGAGGGCTGGTGACCAACTGTGGGCGGGAATGGCAAAGGGGGTGGTGGTGGTGAGACAGCAGGTGATTTTTGTGTAGCATGATTTGTAACACAAAGGGGCTTTAGCACATTCCAGAGGGAATGGAATGAAAAGAGGCTGGAATTTCCCCACTCTTGTTTGAAAGCCTCTGCCTCTATGCAGATCCCAACACTTACATAGCACTGTTAACTCTGTAGACAGTAAAGGAGGTAGGGACCACTCACACGAGGAAGCTGAAGCGCTGTAGTTT